TTCATCCCTCTCTCTCCCCCCCTCTTCATCCCTCTCTCCCCTCTTCATCCCTCTTCTCCCTCTGCCCCTCCAAACTTCACAGCGGTTGTCTCTCAGGTTTAATGCATTAAACCTTTCTCAAAAGTTCCCATGTGGGTTATTTTGGGTTTGGGGCTTTTTTTGTTTGTTTTTTTGAGTTTTTCTTTCTTTTTTTTTTTTTTTTTTTTTTCAATTTTCCTATCTGATGGGGAAAGAGCAGGCTGCGCATGACAGTGCTAAATGACCACCACTTACAGCCCATCACCACCAGTAAGGAGCACCATGGGAACTCACAGCCACTGCCGTGCTCTCTAGGTGTTTACTGGTGCAAGAATTGAGCTCAGACGTTGGAGCTAAACAGAACTGAATTGCTTGGGTTTAGTGACAACAAGTTTTTTGTTGACTCTTTGAAGAGAAATGCAGTCGTAAATGCTCACCTGAATTTCTCTTAAGCGGAACGTGCGTGGGGTAGTTTCTGTTTTGGATTCTTCAGAGCATTGCAGTAGCATCATACGTACGTACCAGTCCTTTTTCATCAACTCTTTTTTTCTCCTTTTTTTTTTCTCCTCCTTCTCCTCTTCCAATCAGGATATGGCCAGATCTCTCACAAAAGTAAGTTAAAAAAAAATGCAAATATTTTCAGTAATGATTATAAGATATTAGAAGAAGAAAACAGGGACTAGTGTGTTTGAGGGGATTAGCTAGAAGGTGGCTGGGTTCAGCTAAGGACTGGCAGCACCGGAGGTGGAGGAATGTTGTGTTAAAGGATTGAAACCCCCCCCAGGGCAGCCCTGAGCCTGTCCCTCATCTCAGCCCCCACCAGCTTTGAGACTTCGATCCCCATTAACGTGCGGATGTTGCAGCTCTCCCTTATTTCCCAGGGGGGGCATTCTGTAAGCCTTTCTCCTAGGCAAGGCAGGCTTACTGCCAGGCTCGGAGACGAGCAATTAAGACGGCAAAATCTAGGAAATTAGAACAGTGAAGTCCCAAATCCCTGAGAATGATTCCGCGGGAGAGCCCGTCTCATTGCGTGCGAGACACTCAGCCTTGTCTGGGTGGGAATCACACCCCCCTTGCTCCCAGCAGGGGCTGATTGATGATCTCCTGCCATAAAAATGAGTATATTTTGCCCCATTAATAAGCATTCCTTGCTTTGCTAATGTGTGACACTGAGCAGGAGATGGTATCAGCAGCGCGGCGTTGCCTTGTTCTGCGCAGCAATAGCTTTATCCTCTGAATTCATCTGGAGATGCTCAGGCAGGAGCTGGAAGCCTCATAATAAGTAAAAAGGATCCTGTATTCTGTCAGACCTCCTCTGTCCATGGAGGTCAATAACTGGCCCGGTGTTCTGTGAGCCACAGGATTTTATCACTAGGATTATGTATTGGAAGACCAATTAAAGAGTCCAATACAAAGCTCCTGCCAAGCAACCAGCTGCCTAAAGTAAAAAACTATAGCTTTCTGAAACTGCTTCAGCTTTGAATTAATACCTGTGAGCTCTGAGGACCATTTGTAGATGGATTAGCCAAGCACAGTTCTTCCCAAAGAGAAATGCCTAAGTTTGCCTCAAAGTCAGCTCATATAAAGAAGAATGGCTCCTTTTTTGGTCCTTATCTGAAACTATAGCTACCACTATATCTAATACGTGCTGTAGGCCAAATCTAGGAGTAATTTATCCTCTACGCATCCAGTAGCTCGAGGAGTACTAATGGGACAGGAAGGTAATATCTGAACTCATAAATATTCCAAAAATAGAGCCAGACTGTCTCGCTCAGACGTGTCCAGACATAGAGTCCCATTGGCTTCTTCTCCAGTAAGGGCTCTGCCTGACCTGCCAGGAAGATTTTTTTTTTTCCCCCCATTACAGAAAAAAACCACCCCACCAACAAGTAGAAGAGATGCATGGCAGAGATGCAGGCTATGCCAAATGTGTTTGCTCAAATCGATAGGAATTATACTGGGAGAGAAATAAGAATCAGCTGTTTGCTGTTGTTTTTCCATCAAAATGAAAAAAAACAAACCACAAATGAAAAAAAAACAACAAACAACAAATCAATCTGAGTCTGTGAGGATGAGGAGACCATTAGCTGGCCTGTGCCTTGATCTAACCTGCCCGCAGTGATTAGAGAGACTGATGTCCCTGCCTGAGAGTGGTGTGTGAGATGAACACTGTTGGAGCCCCTGTCTCCCTTCCTTGTGAGAAAGTGTGATCTTAAAAGCCTGCCTATTGAAAATGTATTTAAACACCCCAAAATATATTTTTTCAGGGCATAAAACAGACTCCTTTGTTGGACTTATGGGCAAAAGATCTTTAAATTCTGGTATGTATCTGGCTAACTCTGGGACTGGGTGATACTCGGCTTCCTCACTCTGTTGCCTCTTTGTTCTCTCCCAGCGGATGGAAGAAGCAGCTTTTATGCAGCGTAGGCCTAGAGTTCTCTGAAATAGGACTGGGATATTCCCTCTTAACCAAGATATTTCAGGGTCTGCTTCCCTCTAATGCTTGAGGTGATCAGGTTGGCAAGGTCAGGTAGAAGTCCTTCCCAGCAGCATGTTCTGCCAGACCCCAAAGTGCTATTACGAGAAAAAAAATATCAAATTTTATTGACAAATCAGGAAAAAAAATCTGAGGCTGAAAATGTAAAGCTCCTTTAAACTCACGATCCAAATCTCCCCAGATAAAGGGATACTCTAATTGTCCCTGCAGATCACTAGTCCTCCAAACCTGAGCAGGAGGTGAAAGAGCAGAGCTCTGCCATTAACACCACCTCATCCTGCAGGTCAAGCAGTTAAACATTCCCAGCCTCCTCCAGCTTTTTATTTTACCTTAAAAAAAAAAAAGAAAGGCAAAAAATATTTTAAGCTTTCAACCAAAACTGGGATTTTTTTTTCTGTTTGTTATTATTGACACCAGTAACTCTGCCTTCCCTGTGCTGCAGGGCTGGAATGAGGAAATCCCTCCCTGTGAACCATAAAATGTCAGTTAATTCCCTACAATAGGAATTAAAAAAAAAAATAATTTAAAAAAACCCTCTAATGCGTATTTCACATCCCTGAAATAGTTTTGTTAAATGGATGATAAAAGTTAAATTACTAGCTGACACCTTTATATTATGTGGATACACGCTGTGATCTATATTCTGCAATTATGGTTGTCAGTAACTTTTATTTTCAATTAAACCCTGTTCAGACTAGTAATATTGCTCTCTGCATCATTTTGCAAATTGCTATGTATCATGAATAATTTTGTACAATTTCATCTGTGCTGGCAATAGCTATTAAATGCATAATACCTGTAAATATATCTGCTATCACAAAAGGTAAATAGCCTGGAAGTAATAAATTGGGTTTGGTTTCCATTGGGATAATGTTTACATTAGTATTAGAACATGAAATGCAGCAAATGTTTCAAAGAGGCAAAGATTTGATTGTCCTAATTTCAAAATTGCTGGTGTAGTCAGGCTGCTGTTCTGTGGTATTTGCAACAGGGGAATAATGAAGTTTTACCCCGTCGGGCTATGTAATACCTGCCTGACGGGTAAAACTAGAATTCCCTGCTTTTCTTCCCAATTCCCTGTGAGGAAAACAGTAAGAAGTTGCTCCTCTAGAGGAGAAGATGGGTTCCAAGGAACGGTCATCTAAGCGAGGTCAGGAGCATGTGCTAGGACTGTCCTTACTTCTCCAGAATGGAAGATGTTTAATTGAGCAGGAATTAGTTGCATCTTTTCTTGGTGCCGTGGTTTTCTTCTTCTGCAGGAAAACCCCCGATTTCCCTGTCGACCTGCAGGACTTTATACCACCCTGCTGCTGGGTGCTGGTTTAAAGCCCTCCTGTGCCAAAAGCAGGGCATGGGGATGCTGGTGTCCCCATCCCTGGTTTGGTAAAATGGGGTCTGACACTCACTGTCCCCCAAGCTGTGGATGAGTGCTCCAGGAAGAAGCCACAAAATAGCCACGCGTACAGTAAAGATATCATAATAATCCATAAGATATTATAATAATAGAAAGCTCAACTCATTTTATACTTGGCTGGGTGAAGATTGAAGTCATCTGAATCTAAAACCACTGGTCCAGAAGGCCAGCTCTGAGCAGGATGCAGTGCCGAGTCCCCCCCCAAGATGAGCTTTTCATGGAAGAATCAGGCAATTATAAGCTCCGTGGAAGCCATCCTCCCTTCGGGGTGGGAGCAAAGAGGGCTCTGGTGACCAGCTCCGTCACCCTGTGGCCAGGCTCTGCCCCAGAAGTGCTCACTGGGTTTCCCTCTCATTTCAAAAGAGAGAGAAGGAGAGATCAGAGGCTGCCCAGAGAGGTGGTGGAGTCTCCTTCTCTGGAGACATTCAAAACCCATCTGGACACGTTCCTGTGGGACCTGCTCTGGGTGGACCTGCTCTGGCAGGGGGTTGGACTAGATGATCTCCAGAGGTCCCTTCCAACCCCATAGCATTCTGAAGGCGTTTTTAGGCTGTGGTGGGTCCGTGGGGCAGTCTGAGGGTTGCTTAGCTCCTGCTGTGCACATCTGGGTCCTCACAGCTTGGGGACAGGGAGGGTTTAAACCTGGCAAGGAGGTGACTCTGCAGGATGGGAGGTGGCAGCGTGGACGCAGAAAGTCTCTACCCACAAACTGGTCTGAGCTCTCAGATCCCACCAGTCAGAGGGGTCACTGGGATGTAAAAGGGCTCTGATTTAATGGTGCTTCGAGGAGTTTGAGAGGGAGGAGGTAGAAATTCCTGCTCAGACCCTCACCCTCCGGGGGAATTGGTGCAGTCTGAGGGGTCGGAGCAGCTCAGGGCTGTGCCAGGGTCCCTCATCTGGGGTCCAAAGGCTGGGACGGGGTCTGGTGGTGGCCCAGGAGGCTGCAGGTCTGACTTTTCCTTGTGCTGGGGTTGACCCGAGGCTGCCCCGTGTGCTTCACCCTGGTTCTTCTTCTTGCAGGATCCTCGGAAAGGAGCATAGCACAGAATTACGAACGGAGGCGTAAATGAGACATCCCCGCCCGTTATTTATTAAACTTCATTTGTTCCAATGGCCAATGCAGTGTAATATAAACTAACCACTGTACGGGATAACTATTTATTTAATAATAACCGATGTTGGGGTTTTGTTTGGTTGGTTTTGGTTTGGGTTTGTTTTGGTTTTTTTGAGTTGTACATTCAATAAAATGATTATTTTCCATATTGTGGCAGCGATACGTGTTGTGTAGGTGCGTTGTGGTTCCCAGAGGACCAGCAGCCCTGGTGACCTTGTCTCACAACAAAGCACATCGTCCCATAACGACCCATAAACTTACCTTCACCAAACAAAGAGAATATTCTTTTGTTCATGGAAAGCGAGTCTATCAGCTTCACAGCCAGCGCCGAACAGAGCTGGTCTACAGTCTAGTGCCTCAATTTGTTTTTCATGGTTTATAATGTACTGTAATTTCCGTATCAAAAAAAAAATATATTTGTATCATTGCAGCATGTTTTACGTTTTGTGACTATGTATCTATATATTTAAAAAAAAAAGTGGGGTGGATGGGGGGTGGGTAAGGTTTGAATGTGAATCCCAGGTCTTCATTTCATAGTCTGGAATTTTATGATAGTAACATTTTAAATAAAAACTGCTCTGGGGATTTTGCAACATACTTTTCTTGGGTGATAGTGACGGCGTTATTTCCCGAGTGGGTCGGGAATGAGACAGTGGTCTGAGATGGGAAAAAAACACCAAATCAATGCCCTCCTTTTTTTTTGGGAGGGGGGCCTTTGAGCCTCCTCCCAGGGCAGGTTTGGTGGACGCTTTGGGGGATTTGCTGCTGGAGACAGGCATTCCTGGCATCACTCCAGGTCACACAAGGTGCCATCCATCCTAAACCCCGTGGAAAACAAGAAGTGTGAAGGGCCTGACGTATCCCCCAGCTCCAAGAGGAATCATCTGCTGTGGAATTCATCCACTACTGCAGGTTTACTATTTGAAAGCCAAGCTTTTAATACATTCTAGCCCTCAGATTCACAATAAAAGCACCTGTTGGCTTCAGTCCATGAAATATAACGGAAAAAAAAGTAATATGTGAGTATAATTATCTTTTTAATTAAAATGTCTGGTTACTCTATTTCCAGGACAGTCCCAAAATGCCACATACATCTCACCAGATGCCAAGGTGTCTGGATCTCTGTTCTTTCCACCTGGTAAAAGCCATACTTTTCTCTTTGACGGTGTCGTACGAGCTTTCACCACAGAAGGATCAGCGGTGAAGGCAGCCAGTGTTTGCAGACCAAATTTCAAGATAACTGGTACAAAGTGATTAACAGAGGCTGTTTTCCATTTTGGAAGGGAGCTCAGTGACCTCTGTTTTCCAGTTTACCCGTGGCATCCTCACAGCTGCACCGTTAGGAGAGGGGTGGGTGTAGGACCTCCCTCCTGCCAGGTGTGGAGTGGCACCTCAGACACCCCATGCCTAAGACAGACCCAATTTCCAACTAAATAAGAGCTGTCTCTGGCAATGTGTGTGTGTGTGTGGCGGGGTACACAGTGGGAAAACTCAGACATGGTGGTTTTCCAGCTCGTTGTCTTGCCAGGGCTAATTTTCAGACTAATAAACTGCTGTATCAGCTCCAGCTGAGCTCAATGAGGGGGGGAAGGCTGCTTGCTGGGCTATCAGCACGGCAAAAGGAGTGCAGAAATACGTGTAATACCTGGTGAATAAGGCTCAGTGAAGGGGAAAAAAAGAAAGAAAAGCTTTAAAATGCTGTCCCCCCTCGAGCCTGGAGGCTCACGGTGCTCCCAGAGCTGAGTTGTGAGCCACGGAGAAGAAAGAAATAGCCCTGCTGCTCGGTCCTGCAGCCTGTGCAGCACACAAACCTCCCGGCAGAAGCAATCACTGCAAGTGTATCGGCATCCAGAGAGAGCCACACGGGACATGGGGGGGTTTAAGTGTGTGGAGGAGAGTGCAGGCATTAGTTAACAGCAGCCAGCAAAGGGCTGGGACTGCATTCTCTGGCAAAACCACAGCATCACAGAGTGGTTTGGGTTGGAAGTGACTTTAAAGCCCACCCAGTGCCACCCCCTGCCCTGGGCAGGGACACCTCCCACCACACCAGGTTGCTCCAAGCCCCCTCCAACCTGGCCTTGAACCCCTCCAGGGATGGGGCAGCCACAGCTTTTCTGGGCAACCTGGGCCAGGCTCTCACCACCCTCACACCAAACAAGTTCTTCCCCACATCTCAGCTCCATCTTCCCTCTTTCAGTGTCAAACCCTTCCCCTCCTCCTATGGCTCCCCTCCCTGATCCAGAGTCCCTCCCCATCTCTCCTGGAGCCCCTTGAGGGACTGGAAGGGGCTGGAAGGTCTCCCCGGAGCCTCCTCTTCTCCAGGCTGAACCCCATCATCTCCATCTCTCTGCCGTTGTATGGAGACTGGTCCTGCACAGCTCAGATGCAGCCAAACACACCCTGGGCCGCTGTGCACAGAGCCCCCACCATGAACTGAAGAGCTGGGAGGGGGGTCTGTCCCCCCATATGCTCCTCTCCAGGGGAGCTTGGGCTCTGCAACACTTGCCCACTCAGATGCCACGAGCAAGTCCTTGGCTGTGTCCACCTCAGGAGCCTGGTGTTATTCCACATGGTCCTACACAAAAAAAAGAGGAAGAATCTGGAAATGTCTGGGCGCAGAGGATCTTTGCAGGAGCCCAGCCCCAAGCCATCGTTCCCTGGAGCAGAATAACATGGAGAGGGTTTTTTTAGGTTATTAAAGCGATTCTTAAAAATGTTGTTTATTCAGAGTACGCCACCAGCAGCTCCTTCCACCAAGAGCCATTATTTAAATGCAGACTTTGTCCCTGCCCCTTCTTAAAGCACGGCTTGGATAACTGCTTTAGCATAAAGACATACCCAGCAAGTCCCAGTGCAAACTTCACTAATGACGAGATTTTGTCCTGATGAGCCCAAACAGGTCCCTCAGCTGTAATTAGACACAGAAGAACGTCTCCCAGGGTGCAGGGATGAGAGCACACAGCAGCTCCTTCCCTGGACGTGTGCTGCGCTGGGATGTGCCATTCCGGGTACAGCTCTGTGTCCTCTGCTGCCTCCAAACCAGCTCCCTTCCCTTCACAGAGAGTAGTTGTTCCTGGAAGAGTAGGGGTTTATTTAATTTTTATTTTATTTTATTTTTTTCTGTTAGCGAGCCTACAAATGGCCTCGAACCTCTCTGGGAAGACAAACAGACTCTCTTCGCATTATTCTGTTAACGTTTTTGGAGGAGACTGAAACATCTGTCAACAGGAGGGGCATCTGGGCTGTATGAAATTCCTGATGATATTCATTAAAAATTGTCACTGCTCCATCCCTGATAGGTCTCTGGTTTCTGTCCGGAATAAAACAGTCACTCAGCAGCTCAGAAACTCCTTTTTAAAGAGAGGAACGCAGGGCAGGTGAGACAAACACTTCCATCTCCATCTTCTTCATGACACCCCTCTCCAAGTTAAACAGTATCATCACTTAGAAGAAATGTAGGAAACTCAGGAAACAATAAAGGATAGGGTTGAGTGTTAAGGAAAAAAATCTCTGGCAAATAAAAATCAAGACATACCTGCCCCAACGTATGTCAATATACTTTTAACACTGTTTTCTACCTGAATCAGTTTGGGTAGAAAACACTGAACTGAGCCACAGAAGAATTACCTTAAATCACAGCCGTTCAATCTTGGCCCATAAAAATGCTTTTTTTTTAATTTTCACTCAGAAAATTTAGAAAAACAATAGGCACGTTGTAATTCTGTGTACCAAAGCACTAAAATTCAAGCAACACCCTCTGGGAGCAAATCTTGCTTGGAGAAGATACACATTAATTACAGAAGGAACACACACATACAGGGGGGCTGCGTTAAGATTGCATTTAACAGCAGAAGTTAAAAGTAAAATCCCGTTGGTGGGGAATCAAACAATGGTGACAGGTTTTTCTGCATAGCTGTGTGAAAAAAAAATGGGCTATATTTGTGTCTGTTAAGTTATGCCATGGGTACAACCGAGAAATGAAGTTTTCAGAGTGACAGAAAAGAGATATTTTAAGAGATGTTTTGCATATACCTGCGGTTATCTGTTTGTAGATGAAAAAATCTGCATATGCATTTAGCTGAGGGATATTATTGCTCCTATGATGCACCCAATAAACTTGGGGTTATTTTAAGAGAAGTATAACCCATAGCTGAAGAAATAATTTTGCATGTTGTTTCGTTTTCTAAAAATATTTCATTTTTGAGATGCCACCCCGTGGTGGGTTACGGGGCACTGAGACTATGCTCGGAAATGTAGATGCTGCATTGCTTTAAAAACATCCATTGGGGAAACCCTCCCCAAGCTGCAGCCTTCGACGGGCAAGGGGGAGGAAGAGGAGCTGAATTTCTACCAGGGAAGAGGATCATCCCTCCGTCCCACCCGGCCGTGTCAGCAGGAGTTACACACCCCTTTCCTCTCCACGGAGCCCAGAGAAGCTGTGGCTGCCCCATCCCTGGAGGGGCTCAAGGGCAGGTTGGAGGGGGCTTGGAGCAACCTGGTCTGGTGGGAGGTGTCCCTGCCCAGGGCAGGGGGGTTGGAACTCAATGATCTTTAAGGTCCCTTCCAACCCAAACCATTCTATGATTCTACAAAATGCATTAAATATACGAACAGCTTAGTTTTAGAGCACCTGCCTCTATTTAGAGCTGAGAAGAGCTTATTCACTTACCTTCTCAAGTGTTTCCTAAAGAACCATTTGTTTTGCCATAACTGCTGGTGTTGCAGCATCTGAAGCCAGCAGCTGTCTGTGCTGCAGAGGAGGTGATTTATTGCACTGAGTAGGAAAAGCGAATCTCATCCAGCATTTAGCATTACACAAGCAGGATGGATTGGGGCTGGAGCACTTTCCAGCTCAGACAACTTACTTATATTAGGGGGGGGGAAAAAAAAAAGTAAAACTTTCCAAACAAAACAATACCTGATATGAAAGTGATGGATTTAGTTATTTATTCTGCCTCCTATCAGGATGTGTTTGTGCTGAACACAACCCCATGAGCCCACAACGTATTACCCATCAGGAGAAGTGTTATGTCTCAAACAGACTTTCCTTACTAAGGATATGATGTTATTAGTGCATTTCAAAAATAATGATTTAATATCAGTGGATTCTTATAAGTGAGGTACACAGCTAAAGGGAACCTCTCAGCCTTTTTTCCTTTAAACAATTGTTTTATAACCCTTAATGCTAGTTCTTCCAAAATCTTTTTCAAGGGACTCCTTCACAAAGAGGACCAGCACGGGGGCACTGCTGCCACCTCTCTCGCCCTCTGATGCTTTCCCCAGGCACCGTGGCCTGGATGGTCACATAAAATCACCTGGTTGTATGAGAGTCTCATGTTTCATGCTGAAAAAGAAGTCAAGTTTCCAGGTTAAGAAGAAAATTTCAAAATTATTCGGAAAGGAGAAGGAAAGGAGAAATTCCAGGTACAGTCCTTTTATAAAACTCTATGGGTTTAATATATGCTTTTTAAAAAAACAAACAAACAAAAAAACCAACCAAACAAAAACCAGACAAACAACCCAGCCCCTCCCCAAAAAAAGAAAAAAAACCAAACCAACAAAAAAGCCGCAAAGTGCCTGGCATAATGATTTTCTCC